CCCCCGCTACAGGCGCCGATATTAGCCCCTGTCATCTGACCACTCCACCACAAGCGCTTGTGAAATCGTGACATAAATCACTCCAGATTAATCAACGATCTAACTGCTGGATTCAATAACCCTGTGACCACAGCTGGCTGTGCCGACCTGCCCCGCTCCCCGCGCCGCTGCTTCCTTCAGAAAGGAAAGCCGGGACCTCTCAGGGATGCGCCAGCTAGGCTGGGCCGTCAGAGCTCACTGGGGCGATGAGCAACCACCTCCCTGGGACGATGCACACGCCTCCACGCTGCTAAAACTTCTGAGGGTGTAGCCAGCGGTTCTTTGCATTACGCCAAGTTGATCTGCTTTCCTACCGAATAATGGGAGAACCTGTTTGCCCTTTGTTCTATGTGAAAGAAACCGCAACTGGACTTGCGGCCTTTCAGTACCTAAAGGGGGCCTATAGGAAAGACGGGGAAAATCTTTTTAGTAGGGCCAGCAGTGACAAGACAAGGGGTAATGGTTTTAAACTAAACCAGGGTAGGTTTAGACTAGATATAAGGAAGAAGTTCTTTACAATGAGGGTGGTGAAACCCTGGAACAGGTTGCCCGGAGAGGGGGTGGAGGCCCCATGCCCCATCCCTGGGAACATTCCAGGCCAGGTTGGACGGGGCTCTGAGCAACCTGATCTAGTTAGCGGTGTCCCTGCTCCTGCAGGGGGTTGGACTAGATGACCTCTAGGGGTCCCTTCCAACCCTAAACATTCTATGATAAATGCTGGGGTGGTTAAGCCTTGTGGAAAGGAGGGTAGGGTACCAGCCCAAGCGATGCAATCAGCTTTTCATGTATGTAACCATCCTAGGCGTTCCTGCTAGCCTAAGTTGAAAAAAAACTCAATGTCAAATGAAAAACGTGACTATATCTGAAGGTGGCTGCCCACACAGACACCATACTGACATACACCGCCACGAACGCTGCGCTGCCGTGAACCACAGCCCAAGGAACAGCGCAGACCCTCGGGTTTAAGGCGAGAGCTAACCTTCCACGAAAGCGGCTCCCTCGGTGACGTAGTCCAGCAGCTGGTCGAAGATGGCAGTGATTGTCTTTTTAGCCAGCACGAAGTGCTTCAGCGGAGAGACGGCAGCTTCTGCCATTATGCAACTGCAACCAAAGTTACACACAAGTGACCAGAACGCTCAGCGCACCCGCGTAGGTGAAAAGCCGTTGGCTTCCCACCCGGTCACTTGAGGAAAAACCTGACCCAAGCAAACCACCAACCCCCAGAGCCCCCCCGAACCCCACACCACGGCAAACGCCAGCACGCTCGGTTCACGCCGGCTCTCCTCTCACCCCCAGCCACGCGGGCGCCGAAGCGCGGGGCGGGCCGTTCCCGAGACACGAGCCCTTCCCCTCACAACCTCCGCACCGCCC